ATCTTACAGTCCGTACAGTCACGACCGGCCCTCGCGCTCGGTTAATTAGAGGTTACTATTTTCTTCAAACTTGTGTATTTTGGGATATTTTGCCTTCACTAAACAATAGAAAAACACCCAAAAGCCATAAGGTATTTATGCGTTGGTAAGCCTGGCCCATTACAGAAAGATGAAGGTAAGGCTTGAGCTAACGGGTACAAAGACTTGGATACTTCAAGCCTGCTTGCTAAAGAATCTTTCACGTAAATGTTCTTAGCTATAACGAAAGCCCAACTATCATAACGCAGAAGATTCCTCTCGGATACATAATAGCTATAATCCTTCTGCATTGTAATGTCTGTACTCAGACCACATCAAAGTCGCCCCTCCACTACCCTCATTCGACGTTGTTTTGAACTGAAAATAACGCATACAATTGTTGTGATATCCAATGCTACATTGCCAGAGGGGAGGGAGATAATCATCATTCATTTAAAAAAAATTTGCATCAGTATTTTTCAAACGTTTCTCAACTATAGTTCTGTCCAGGGCTGTAGCCGCCAAAGTAGCTCCATCTGACGAAGTTGAATGCAAGCAGGTGGAGGGTCGGGCTGGGGACACAGCCTAGGGACTGGCCTACCTCTGATGGTTTGCTGGGTACCAGCTGTCAAAAGCATCGGGAAGGGTAGGGTGTCTTTTACCGACACCTTCACTTTCCTAAACTTGAGTTTCCAGTGTCAAATAACGTTGATTTTGACTGTGTGTCTGGGCACTTTGATCAGTTGTTTAAGAATTCTTTAGGGTTCTGTGTTGACAACGGGACCTTGCTTGAGAAGTACATAATACGTCATGCGTGACGAGCTAATCGTCTAACTAGCGGGTGGTACCTGGGGCCGCTGGGACTTTCTTTGAGTCTTTGTGGGTATCTATTTGTGATATACGTAGGAAAGCTAGTCGGCTCATTAACAGAAACAAGGCGCTTATGAGTGCCTGTAACGTAACAGATCTAAGCACATTTTATTCTGAATTGTTAAAAGTCTGGGCCTTCTACGTATAGAATAAGCAAGCATATAAGCAAAAACATGTGTTACATCGCCACTGCAACAGTAACATGTCCCCCTCTCCTCCGCCTCGCGATTTTTCAGTCCTATCGTTTTTTCTAAGGCAGCTGAGACGAAAACTTCAGAAAACTGTGGATGTTTACTACGGGTAACGTGTAATTTTGAAAACTTGAGAATGCTGCAGCAAAACATTACTACGCTTCTTAATTGAAAGAACTCATTACTACGCTTCTTAATTGTTCAGTAAACTTTAAGAAAAATCTTAAAACAAAGATGCTTAACGAGTTTTTGAAACAAGAATAGTGCTACACTTTTTAATTCATTGTATTTACAATGAATTGTAAATAAGGTTGTTTGTTTACAAAACTGCTTCTCCCTCCAAACAGGTCCACATAACTTGATCTTGATTGTAGAGTTCACCTTTGCCATAGACGGTTCCCTGATAGGTTTGTAAAAAAAAAAGACCAAAAACAGGTTAGAAGCTAGTTGTATCAGTAACCGAGAGATACGGCACTTAATATTACTCGCCGTGCGTCATTAGCAAAACTGCGTGGTTTAAAATTATAAAATTTATATTTAGAGAGGAAGCAACCTCAACCCTCGGAGCAAGGCGAGACGGAACCAACCAAAAATTGACCCAACATATGGCACCGGGCGGGAATCGAACATGGTCCACATTTATGGGAGGCAAGCGCTCTCACAACTACGTCAGCCCTCCATCCCAATCAGATCGCGATTATTCAAATGTTTAA